TAGGGGGGGGGGGGGGGGCGAGACATGGCCGAGAGACATGGCCGAGAGACATGGCGCGCGAGGTGTGTGGGCGTGTAGGCGGCGAGGGGTGGGCGTCACCCAGCTCGAGTCACCCCAGACCAGAGAGGGCGGCCAGGACACGTCTGGGAACCTTCTAGGACACGCCTGGGAACGTTCTGTGGGCTGTCGCTAGGCGGCGAGGGAGGCGTATACCTGGATCGAGAGGGCGGCCGCCGCGGGCCAGCCCGCCGACGCGGCGGCGACAGCAGCGGCGGCGGAGGGGGAGGGGGATGCGGCAGCGGGGGATGCAGCGGCGGGGGATGCAGCGGCGGGGGATGCAGCGGCGGGGGATGCAGCGGCGGGGGATGCAGCGGCGGGGGATGCAGCGGCGGGGGATGCGGCAGCGGGGGATGCAGCGGCGGGGGATGCAGCGGCGGGGGATGCAGCGGCGGGGGATGCAGCGGCGGGGGATGCAGCGGTGGGGGATGCGGCGGCGGGGGATGTAGCGGCGGCGGAGGGGGAGGAGGCGCAAGAGGAGCCTCCGCCAGGCGCGTTTCACCCGGGGGTGGTGTGCGCCGAGACGGAGGCGCTGATCGTCGGCTGGCGGTACGCTCGGCCAGCGAGATGCGAGGAGCGGCGCGCGGCTCGCGAGGCGTGAGATATGGGGAGAATGCGGGGATATGGGGAGATATGCGGGGAGGAGCGGGGAGGAGCGGCGCGCGGTTCGCGAGGCGTTAACTAGTAGTTAGTGAGTAGTTAATTAGGGAGGAGCGGCGGACGGCTCGCGAGGCGGGCTACGAGCCGCACCTTCCTGACTCGTCACAGCCGTGCTGATGCTCACACTTCACCGCTGACGCCAGGCGGGCTACGTGCCGACGGAGTCGTACAGCCTCTGCCAGGCGAGATAGGGGGAGATATGGGGAGATATGGGGCGATATGCAGTCGTACAGCCTCTGCCAGGCGAGATAGGGGGAGATATGGGGAGAGATGCAGTCGTACAGCCTCTGCCAGGCGAGATAGGGGGAGATATGGGGAGAGATGCAGTCGTACAGCCTCTGCCAGGCGAGGGTGGCCTTTCCCCCCACCCTCTGCCCCAGCACTTCCTCTGCCCCCCGGCGCAACACTCTGCCGCGATTCCGCCCACTTTCGGCATGGGGAGGGAGACTCCCACGCCTGTCCCTCTCCCCTCGTCCCTCCCCTCCCCTCCCCTCCCTCCTCTCCTCCTCCCCTCCCTCCTCTCTTCCTCCCCCATATTGTCAACTATTTTGGTTTTTGTGTGATGTGTACGTGCACGTAGGCTTCTTCTCGGAAAAAAGCACTCTGCCAAATGCTTCATGCGTCACGGGGGCCGAGGCCCGAGCGCTTGCCATGCCAGGTGGCGGGCGCGATCCGCTCCGAGCTCCCGCGAAGTCGGCACTCGAGCAGACAACAGCGCTGCCACGTGCCAGCTGTGCGGATGCAGTCGGTGCAGCAGCACGCCGATTCGGGATGGTCTGCCATCCCGATCCATTCGCGCCGTCAAAAGCGGCGTTCGCCTCGGCCCAGATCTGTAGCCGAGCCTCTTCAGCTCGGCTTCCTCCTCCTCCTTGCTCACTGCCAGCTTCGTGCGGCGCCCGCTACTGGCGAGGAGTTCTTGCAGGAGCTCGTTCGCCTTGTCGATAGCCTTCTTCGAGCCTCGCAAGTGGACGACGTCGCTTTCGACGGAGATGCTAGCGCCGGAGTCCGCTTGCAGCTGGCGGATAGTGGCGCCGCCTCGGCCAATGATGACAGCTTTCTGCTTTGCCTTGATCGGCACGCCGCTGCCTCAGCGCCTCGCGCGCGGCACGGATGCACTGCTTGCGCGAGCCAAGGACGTCCTGGGAGATGCGGGACCAGAAAAAGCTGGCTGGCTAACCTGGGGCCGCGGCGGCAGCTCCGGGAATTGCGATCGCGGGGGGGGCATTGATACGCCCTCCGCCTCGATTCGGTAAAGGTGTCACGCCGTCGGAGCCCCTTACTCGTACCGGTTGGTCATCGCCGCGGCTCGCTCTCTCCAGCGACTTTGCTTGAGCACTTCGCTCCTCTCTGGTCCGCCTCCCCGCCCCGCCCCGCGACCCACCCGAGCCCATCTCACGGCATATGCACATGCATCTCTCGTTGCACACCATGATCGCCAACCTCTGACAACCAGGAGCCTCTGAAGCGTTATCGACACCGATCCTGCCAGACGAGAGGCGCACCGCGCACACAGCAGCTGACGCCGGTGATCGCGCGCAGGGCTCATGATGACCTTCGTGACCCGCGTCCTGCTGATCGCAGTCTGCAACAAGGTGACCGACGCGCAAATCCACCCGGAACCGCCCGGCAGCGCCACCATCTTCATGGCCTTCAACGAGCCGAACGCCACCAAGAAAGAAGACCCGCTCGTCACCCCACGTGCTTTCTGCGATTATCAGAACGATGGCGACTGTGACGACGGCGGTCCAGGCTCTGACTACGCCTACTGCTCCTGCGGCACCGACCCCGCCGACTGCGGCCGCTACCCCTCCTCCACCGCATGCGACCCACCGCCGTCGCCGTCGCCGCCACGTGCTGACAGCTGCTCGATGGGCTCCTGCGAATGCGGCTTGCAGACCACCTACACGAACCCTTCCGGATGCTACTGTGTGATTTCATCCACCTGCGGCTACTCTGGGTCTCCCCCCCGCTACGGTTGCACCGCTTACCTCATTGGAGGATCCCCCATCATGTGCTCCTCTACTCCTACGTCGGCGCCGCCTCCACCGCCTTCACCGCCGCCTCCTCCACCTTACTCGACTCCTTACTACGGCGGTGGCGGCGGCTTCCCCAACAACTACTACGAGGAGACCACCTCGGCCGGCATCAGCCTGATCACCATCCTCATCATCGTCCTGCTGATCCCGCTCCCCCTGGGCCTGATTTGGGTCATTGCGCGGACCCTGAACGCCAAGAAGTACGGCTGGACGAGCTCGCACCCGATTGGCTCCACGGTTCCGCCGCCAGGTGCTCCGGCCGGTGGCGTTTGGGTCAAGTATGACATCTGCCACGCGGACACCATCTTTGGCGTCCTCTTTGCTGCGTCTACCCTTGTCTGGGGACTGCTCGTGGGGGTGATCATCATTGTCGCCTACTCCTCCGGCTGCTGCGGCAACCTCCCTCCGCGCACCGTCTACAAGGTGAACGATGCCATCTACTACCCGAACGGCAACGTCAAGGTTGCGGGCACCCACACGGCGAAGGAGATTGTTGTCTCCTCCGCGTGAGCGAGCGTTTTGCCAAGTGGCGAGATGAAGTGACGCCGTCTGACTGTGCCTGGGTCGGACCTCGTGCATGTACCGCTGGCGCGCCGCAAGCGGAGAGATCAAGTTGAATACGAGAGGAGAGGGTGATCGGATTGGTGCGAGAGCGCAACTCTTCTGTCTTCATTGTTTATTACTCGATCGACTGTTACTCGAGTACGAGAGAGTCCATGATGATTTGTTTCTGGAGAACGACTAGCTAAATGGATCTCTCTAAAAAAGCTGGGCTATCTTGGGCCGCGGCGGCAGCTCCGGCGAGCGATACGCCCTCCGCCTCGATTCGGTAAAGGTGTCACGCCGTCGGAGCCCCTACCGGTTGGTCATCGCCGCGGCTCTCCAGCGACTTTGCTTGAGCACTTCGCTCCTCTCTGGTCCGCCTCCCCGCCCCGCCCCGCGACCCACCCGCGCGACGCAGCCGCCTGCGTGCTGCACCGGACCCCAGCACGCTCTACCCATCACCGAGCCCAAGTGCTCACCAAACCAGATCCTCGCTTGCGCCTTGCTCGGCCTGACGACCGACATCCCAACCAAGACCATGCACAGCCAAAGTTTAACATCACGGGCGCATCCACGCATCTGTTGAGCGACGCTTAGGCGGATGCCGATCGACGTCGAGCACCTGAAGGGCCTGCATGAGCTGAAGCAATCGGGTGCGCTGACGTCGGCAGAGTTTCAGAAGGCCAAGGACCAAGCCATCGAAGTCAAAGCTCCTCCGACCGACTTCGAACTGGCCGACGCCAATGGCGATGGCGTGATCACGCCGGAGGAAATGGCTGAGTACATGGCCAAGAAGGCGCAGGCAAGCAACTTGGCCGAAACCGTACAGGGTGTGCCAGTCTCTTCAAGCCCATACGTCGACGCGCCACCGCTCGGACTTCCGGTTGCACCAAACGCACCAGCCATGGAGCGTGAGATGCCAAAGGGCGCGGACATGCTGATCACAATCAACAAGCCCTGTGGCGCTAAGCTGGGCATCGACATTATCATGATCGCGTCGAACGCCACCGTCAAAAGGTGCCTCCCTGGAAGTATCAGTGAGGCATCCGGGCTCCAGGAGGGAGACGTGATCCAGACGATCAATGGCCAGGCGGTCACAGACCAGCATGACGCCACGGCAAAGCTCGGCGCGGCGTCCGGTGAGATCGAGGTCGCGATCTACCGAGGCTCTCCCTCTGGCACGGCCACGGGTTCACCCTCCGGCGGCTCTGACAACGAGTGCAATTCATGGGAAACCGGCAAGTGTGTGGGGAAGGTGATAGGCTGTGTGCTTTGCACCGCCCTTTCAGTGCTGGTCGGCATGGCCAGCTCACTCTGATGGCCGCAAAAATCACGTGTAGAGTATACGGGGATGGTTGATCGGCCATTACCCATTAGGTATGTGTCTGTTCTGGAACTCGGGAGTTGCGAGACGAGTTCAGCACAGGGCCCGATGCGCTCCTTTGGCGTTGCGCCCTCGGAGATGGCTGGCTACGCCACGGCCGTCGCAGCGGGCACGGTGGCCGTCAGTTCGAGTTGTCCCTGCTCCCTCCGCGGGGGCTCAACTCCAGGCCGCAGGGGCGTGTTGCGTAATGGGCCATTAGTAATGCGAGCATGCAGCTATGCGTAGTGCGAAAGCCTCGGCGCCAGCCAACGTCGGCGAAGGTGTCCGGAGCCTCGTCTACCAAGCTTTCGCACATGCAACGTATTTCAATCGACACAAAAGACTCTCTTGACGAGCGAGTACGAACGTCGACGACGACCGCACGTCCCCGCACCCCGGCCTGAGAGGCTGAGCAGTGAGGCCTGTAGCCCCCCGCGCCGTGCGCGTTTTGCGCGCCTGCGCGGCCCAGCCCCGCAGGCCGCGGGCGAGGTGGGGGGATTCGCCCCGCATGCGAGTGTGTCCTGTTGAGAGGGGGGCTCTGAGGAAGGAGAGGAAGCTTCGAGTGAGCGTTCGAGCGGGGGGTGTATTGCACAACAGCGAATAGCGCCGGCCGCCTCCCGTGCGCCTCACGAGAGGAGCAGGGAGCGGCGGCGCGTCGGCAGCAGCGGGCTCAGCACGCCCCAGATGTGCTTGAAGTTCAGGCGTCGCTCTTCCCAGGCGTGGATCTCGCCGTTGCCGCACGGATCGGCGCCGCCGACGCCCTCGAACGGCGCGTCGTGGCAGCCGCGGTTGACGACGCCGGACGCAAAGTCGACGAGGCTGTGGTCGCTCGGGTCCATCCCGTTGTCCACCCAGGCCTGGAGGACGTCGAGGTACCTTTCGCCGCGCACGTCGTACGGCTGCACGTCGTTCAGGCCCGAGAACCAGCGCAGCTCCGGGTACTCGGGCTGGCAGATCGCGCCCGGGTTGGCGCAAAAGTCGACGTCGGGGAAGAGGGCGTCCTTGCCGCGCTGCGCCGCCTTCTTGCCCGCAAAGTAGTTGAGCTTGCCAAATGCACACGCCGGTCGTCTGGATGGCGCCTCCCTCCCTCGGACCCCCCCCAGCGCTCATAGAGAGCCGCTGAGAGGAGGACATGACGCGCGCATCTGGCACCGCGCCCGGCTGACGCCTGCTGAGGGGTCAGCCCCACGCCGCCCCGCCTTCGGGCGCGTCGGCGTCGCGCAGCGGAGGCGGAGGCGTCTCGACCCGATGGCCGACACCGCGTGAGGCAGGCGGACTTGCGCTCGCGGGAGTGGCTCAGGGAGTGGGGGGCGGCGGAGGAGGAGGGCGGGTAGACTGCTAGTCTCACTCCTCCACGGGCACGGCAATTCGGTACAACGAAGACGAAGAACGGAAAAAAGTCACCCAGGAAAAGAAAAAGAAACATGTACAACGCAAGGCCCCAGGGCCCCAACCCCCACAGCTGCAGAACATGTGTACATGTGCGGGCCAGCGCCTATGACGCTCAAGGCTTCAAACCAGCGGCGCGCTCCGCGCGTGCTCTGCGGCAGTGCTACTGCATCTTCCGCAGCTCGAGAGAGAGAGAGAGAGAGAATTCTTGATACGAAACCACGACGACACACACCAGTCGACTCGCATCGGTTGCCTCCATGAACGGCGGAGCTATTCTCGCGCCCACACCACACCTGGCTCCAACGTGGACACGCCCATAGCTGGGGACACTACTAGGTCAGGCTCCGGCTCAGGTCAGAGGGCCCAGCGACTCGTCGGTTGGGTGTAAACGGGCATCCCCGAGTGTCTTCAAACCAAAAAGGGTGTGAATAGAGCTGTCTTGATGGTGCTGAGGACGAAGACACCTCAAACTTTGTTGAAGACGCGAGTTTTTATAGTTTTCATTAGCTGTGAATAGTTATGCGCCCGCCGCAGCCCGCCCTGTTCCACCCGGGCACGCGCCACGGGCCACGAGAGCCAGTGGTAGAGCCCAGCTGGCATGTTCAATCGTCCGGGTGGCGAGCTGTTTGCATGCAGACGTCTCGTCGCCGTGGCCGACGCATGGCTGGTCCGACGTGTGGAGGAGTTTGACCTCAGCCAGGCCGTCGGTGTCGGCGGGCTGACGGCGGCCGCCGGAATCGCGATTCGCTCTGCCAGCTGCCAGCAGCCTCGTGTCGCCGCTCTCGTTGGCGCAGCAGCAGCGATTGGCCTTTGCGCCGTCGCTCGACGGCGTCACCGCCCATCCGACCTGCGCAGCTCCTGCAGCTCCTGCAGCTCCTGCTGTCAGTCTTCTGCTCTCACGCACCTCACTCGCCGCGCGCGGATTGTGCGCCGCGCCAAGCAGGACACGTGCTCATGCAAACAATGCGAGAACTTGGTTGCGCCGCTTAGTGGCGGCGCTGGTTTAGAGGAAGCGGCAGCGTGGGAAGCAAAGCAGATGGAGGCGGCGCGGCATGCCAAGGAGCTGCTGCTGGCGGAGGTAGCGGCTAAGTGCAGCAAGGGCCAAGGGCAAGAAGGGCAAGAAGAAGAAGAAGAAGAATGTGGGCGTGGGCGATACGGGCGCCGCTAGGCTCAACGAGGAGGTGCTGTGCAGTTAGAGAGCTCGTAGCGAGCTCGACTTTGATGAGATTTGATGAGAAATATCTCACAATTTTGAGCAAAAAACGCCAAAAAAATCGGCGCCTGCGGCGGGCCAGCCTCCGGCGGCGCCTGCGGCGGGCCGCTGGGGCCTCCGCCCCAGACCCCGTTTACACCCTAGCTATGCCCCGCGACCTGAGCCGGAGCCAGAGTTGGTTATTGAGTGGGATCAGCTCCCCCCCTTGGGATCGAAGCCGCCACAACCTCACACCCAACATCCCAGGCGGGATCAGAAGGGGACTCCACACCGGACACCGCCCGGGCACAGCCCCCCTACCCGTCGGATCGCACAGAGGGCCCCCTCGGAGCAGCCCACACACAATCACGCATCGGCAGATTGAGTGCCTGAGTCAGGCAGACAGCACAGACAAGAGGAGAGAGAGGAGAGAGAGAGAGAGAGAGAGGAGAGAGGAGAGGGTGAGGGAGTGTGCACACGTGAGGAGTGGGGAGGGTGTCTGTGGTGGGCTGTAGTCTTACTACGTGGTTAGAACCACGCGCCCCTCAGGAGCTAAGGTAGAGTGTTGGGTGTCAAGACACCGGCGTCGGCGACTCACTCCCCAGAGGGTTGAGCTGCTCAACGAAGGTGAAGCCATCCGGATCTGCACAGCTCGCCCTCCGGACGCGCAGCTCCCCGCGATGGTCCCCTAGCCACCGCCGCCTCAACATCTCCAGCAAGTAGTGAAAGGTCCGCCACAGCCTCCAGCCTCCACCTCCACCCGCGAGCCGCCACCGCTGCCTCCCGCGACGCCGCCCGCCGCGTCAGATAGCCGCGACGCGCGCACCGAGTCGCGTCGGAGAGCCGCGCCGCACCAGCAGCAGCATCTTCACCACCAGCAGCAGCAGCAGCACCACCACCACCACCCGAGAGAGAAGCGCACCTGCCCGACGCCGCCCGCCGCGTCAGACGCTCGCGACGCGCGCGTCGAGCCCAGTCGCACAGCCGCGCCGCGCCAGCAGCAGCATCGGCACCAGCAGCAGCAGCACCACCACCACCAGCAACAACAGAGACAGGCAGTGCAGGCGCAGAGGCGCTCGCAGAGCGGCGCTCAGCGCCGCGCACGCCACGCTGCGGACCGTCGGACGAGCGCACCGTACGTCGGCGGCGAGCCGCGTCGCCAGCCGTCTCGCGAGAGAGCGGCGCCGCCGCGTGCGCGCAGCAGCCGCCGCGGCAGAGGCGAGCCGCGGCGACGTCCGCACTAACGGATAACGGCCATTGGCGGTTCTCTCTCTCTCTCTCTCTCTCTCC